CACAAGGGAAGGGGGTGTGGCATGGAGAGATTTTCCCTTCTGTAAATGATCGAGTGAGTGTGCAAGTCAAAAGAAGAAGAGACTGATGAACACAACAATGAAGGAGCGAAAGGCGGGCGTGCGGATTGGTGGGGTTTCTCCGGGTGGGATGTCGTGGGGAGGGGTGGGGTGGGTCGGGCCGGGTCGGGAGTGCGGACCGAGCAAGGCGGATGATGAATCAGATCTGAGGAGTCTTTATGCCGAAGCGTTTTGAATCACACGTCTCTTTGTTATCATTTCGGAGGGGGGACCGAGTAGTTCGTTGCCTTGCGCTCTGTTCCCGATATCACAAGAACAGTTTGGGGCTGGTTGGTTGGCTTTGACTTTGACATTGACGGACTAGGCTTAGCGAGACGACTGGGGAGCCAACCATCCCAAGGTTTGAAAGTGTGTGAAGGACGACGAACTGTGACGGAAAATAATCGGAACCTTTTTGTGTGTGTCTCTGTGTGAGTGTGTGGGTATCAATCAAAATAATATGAGATGAAGGAATATAGGCGTTTCTTATAGTGTGATTTAAATGGTGATGTAAGGAAAACCGTTTTTTTTAAGTCATGGTAGACTGGTTTATTGATGTAACGTCTTCAATACCAGATGAAAAATTGAACTCACAGCGAGCTTGTTAAAATTCTCGTTATGGTTGTACCTTATCTTTGAGTCGATGTTAAGGAAATGCCATTGCTTTTGTTTTTATTGTTGAATAATATCGACTTCGTTTATATAGTTTATGTGCTCACTCGAGTCCTCAGTTTCGTTTCTTAACGATAATCCGGAGTGATGGTTTAAAGTATCGAAGCGCTCATATGACCTTATGCTGTTGCGAGCGCCATAAAACCTCCACTAAACTAAAAAGTATCGAACTATAGATCTAGCATCCTGTTGTGTGTTTTTTACGAATACACAGTAAACATATCTTTTACTTCCCTGATATTGCTGTCACCAGTTCCTCCTATAGGAACTCTTTACTAGTTTGTATTTCTATCAAAACATAACAGAGTCGGTAATTTCTCATATATACATATATA